AAAAAAAAAAAAAAAAAAAAAAAAAAAAAAAAAAAAAAAAAAAAAAAAAAACATGATCAAGAACAGCCCTAATTTTGGTTTGATTTCAACCTCATTCTGTGTACTCATCTCCCTCCCCTTCTCTCTCTGGCTGTCGAGATTCAAGCTTTTCATATGCATTATACCGCCATTGGAGCACTACTTCACACATTCTCATCAAGTTGGTCTCCACTTTTCAACCACCATTACCAACTCTCCATACTCAGTTCCGCAGGATCTCTCTCCTCGCTCGCCATTGATTCTTTCCTTCCTCCTCTTCGCACTGGTACGATGCCAGCTTTCATCTCTAATTCCTTCGATTTACGCCGCCATTGACGACGAAACACTCTTCCTCCTCCGAATTCCAGTAGTTCTCAGCCTCGGGGCCCAGATTCCATATATGGATGGGCCCCATTTGGCCCACGGTCCTTCGTCAAACTTCATCTAATTTAATGCTTTGTCTTTGTTTGATATTTGCTTGCAGTTATTCCGTTGTTTTGCTCCACTGTTAAGCAAAGAATCAGAAATAAATCGACAAAAGGGTTGTCAACCAAGGGTTTTTGATCTGCAGCCGGACCAGCTTTTCCTCTTGAGGTTTTTTCTTCCGTCAACCCTTCTATTCTATTCCATCTTCTCTTCCGACTTTGTTTTCCTTGGCTACTTCATTTTTCTTGTTAGAATTAGTGAATGTTTTCTTGATTAATGTGATTAAGCTTTTTGTCCTTGTTGGTGCGGATTTGGGGTAATACTTAATCATGAAAATATGCTATGGATGCAGGAGTTATAGATTGATTGATTGATTGATTGTGTAGTTCATCTGACTCAGTTTTGAACTCTTTGAGAAGCTTCCATGGCTGATAAGTTGAAGCGGAAACAAAGTAAATTGTCCGTGTACCTTTACGTTCCCAATATTATTGGTGGGTATTAAGTTTCTCTTATTGCATGGTGTCTTCAAATCATTCAATCAGCTTGTGTCATCTTTGTATTGAATGCCCTGCCACTACTTAAGAACTCTACTTAATTGCTGAAGTTATGATGCATTCATGATTTCTAAAATATTTTCTTGACTGAAATGCAGGTTATATAAGGGTTCTCATGAACATTGTTGCCTTTGCCCTATGCTTCTCAAATAAAATAATTTTCTCAGTCCTCTATTTTGTCAGGTTAGTGCTTAATTTCCCATATCACCTTCTCTTTTCCATCAATATCTTTATGCAAAATTGGGGGAAACTGGACACGTTTTTTATTAAACTCATGGTTTCAGCTTTGTATGCGATGGTATTGACGGTTGGTGTGCTCGCAAATTCAATCAAGGTACATACTTACCGTGTTTGTGTGTTTATCTGCTATGCGTGCGAGTACTTGTGGAGAAATATATATTAGATGCAATTCTCTGGTTTTTATCGTAAATATTATAAGCCAATATTCATCTTGACTGTTATGGTTTTTGCCGTTCTCTTTATTTTCGAACGGAAGTAAATGTTTATAGTTCTATGATACCCAGTGTTGAGTGCTTTAATTGAACTAAGTAAATGTATAACCTGTGATTAAGGACTTCTCAGTTTGACTTATTCTGGTGTTTATATATATATGTGGAAGAAAATTATATTGGAGAGCCTTAACCTAGTTACCTGTGTACAATGTTATTGATAGGATGCTTCAAGTGTTTTCAATCACTTGAACTTTGATAGTCTCTAAAGTTGAACCATTATCTGTAAAATGTAATGCTTTTTTCTTGAATGATTCAGTTTCCACCTTTGGGGCTGTGCTGGACATGGTAACAGACCGGTACAATCTTCGTTAACCTTTGTATTTATATATATTTTGGCATCTAAGATATGGAAATTTGATATACTACTGGATTTGTTATACTCGTAACTTTATATTGATATCAAGTCCCTCAGGGCATACAACCTTGCCCTTGATTGACAATTTTGATCAGAATCTGCTGTATCACAGGATTAGCACTGCTTGTCTACTAGTAATTCTATCCCAAGTATACAGGTAAGGATTTCATTTATATATACATAATATTTTTGCTAGTTTCAAGGGATTTTGTAAAGACTAAAAAGAAACTAGTTGTAAATATTATAGAGGGTTGTAATGCAGGCCTGGTTTGACTTTCTTATCACTTCTTGCCTTGGATATTGCTAGCCACTGGCTTCAAATGTACAGGTATTATATTGCTTTTAATTCTGCTTGATCATGTATACATTTTTTTTTTCTTCACTATGCATAATTATAGTTATGCATCTCTGATTTTTTTGGTTTACTATTACCTCAGTACCTTTTTGCTAGGCAAAGCCAGTCATAAAGATGTCAAAGACAGCACCAATTGGCTGTTTAAGGCATATTATGGAAATAGGACATTTATGGCTTACTGTTGTGTGTCATGCGAGGTAATTTGAAATTCTGTTCTTTAATTACTCAGACACTCATTGGTGTGCACCACCTGTTCTCAATCCTCATTTTCCGTCTATAGGTTCTTTACATTACTCTATTTCTGCTGGCGGAGAAGCAAAATGAGAAATTGATGGATGTAAGTATAGTTTGTCATTAGTGTTAATGTCGGGTTGTTGGTAGGAGTAGGACAATATCCCAGTTGTTTGAACTCGATACCTTTTTTCAGGTTATATTACACTCGATACAACAAAAGACACTCCTATCACTTTTGATCGTAATTAGCTTGTTCGGATGGGCAGTGAAGCAAGCTGTTAATGTCATACAGGTAATGCATGTTATCAGACCTTTATATCTTTGTAGATGGATAGATTCAGTAGCTGCATGACTGATTCCTTTAGACTATGAATGTGCCCAACTTGAAGTAGGAGCCGTATATGAAATCATCGCGGGTTGGTCCAGTGGTCAATAAAGGTCATGTAAATATTAAAAGATTTAAAGGTAATTGGTTCAAGCTATATTGGTCATCTGTCTAGGATTTAATATCATATGAGTTACCATATCAACTAAATGTAGTAGAGTAAGATGGTTGTCTCATGAGAATGTTCGGGTCTGGACACTCATGGAGTATTATAAATTAATAACTCAGGATGAATTTTCCTGATTTATACTTCCTAGTTTTAGCACGTGATCCATGGTACCTTGTAATCATAGTAGAAATTCTTGAAATTAATATGTTGATGGTGTGTTCATTTTCCCTGTGGTGGGTGTCTTTAAGCACC